AGCTGCCATTGGAGTCATCACCTTTTTAAATATATGATGATAGTTTATCATTAGTCAAGTTTCACCTGTCTTCTCTATGAATCAACTAGCATTTTAGATGAGATATGATTGGAATTGCCAAACAACCATCATTCAAGACTGGTGATGGCAATAATGGCTGTGACTCCTGTAGATTAGGTGCTACTGTTGTTTTATCATTTTGGTAGAGAGAGGGGTTCAGGGATTTTCTCTTGGCCTTATCATAATAACCTTCACATGTCAGGGAGCCAAAATGAGGATATCTTCATTAACTAGGTGTATCTCTAGCCAAACACATAGGAACTAAGGAAATAACCATCAGAGGGATTCACCAAACCACTGGGCTCATGCTCTGTAAACCTTCTCCTAAAACACAATAAAATATTTTTTAAAAAATTAGGTGCACTGTAAAATAAATAAAGGTAAAATTTGTTTTATCTTATGACAACCCCCGCCCACCCCATAACTGCTACTGTGGTCAGTTTTTTATAGTGCCCTCTTGTTAATCAAGAACTAGAATTAATTTGAAAAAATAAAATAAAAAATTTCTGGGAAAAAAAAAAACAGACCTTACTGGTCTGACAGAGGCTGGAGGAACCACCGAGTCTACGGCCCCCCGACACCCTCCCAACTCAGAACTGAAACCACTCCTGAAAGTCCACCTTTCAGCCACAGATTAGACAGGCCTATGAAAACAAACAATACACGTTATTAGTTCAAGTATATGAGACCAAATGGGCAACACCTGCCCAAAATCAAAGACGAGAAGGCAGGAAAGGACAAGAAAACTGGACAAATGGATTCGGGGAACCAGGGTATAAAGGGAAAGGGGAAGAGTGCTGACACGTTTGTGGGGGTTGCAACCAATGTCACGAAACAGTTTTTGTATAGACTTTTGAATGAGAAACTAATTTGCACCATAAACTTTCACCTAAAGCACAATTTTAAAAAAAGTCAATTATCTACAGCCTTTTAGGAATCACATTTTCTGAAGTGCTACATAACAGCTGCCTCTCATTAATTCAATACTAGGTGAACATGGGAGATCTCTGGTTTAAAATTTATATTCTTTGTAAATTGCATTTTTTAAAAGTTATTTTCTAAGAATGAAAACAGAAAAAATGATGAGATCTCCAAGAAAGGGTTACAGTACTCCACTTGGTTCAGTAGTGAATATTTGTAACATAATGTAGACACTAATAATTTAACAACAAATTAATCAACTTGGAAAGATGAGGAAAGGAAATCTGAGAGAGCTAAGTACTTATCTCCCATGAATGACCAAAACAAAAAAACAAAACTTGTCATGGAGTACATTACAACTCACAGCGACCCTATACAATAGAGGAGAACTAGCAGGTAAGCTCTTAACCACTGTGTGACTACGGCTTCCCATTTATGACAGTCAGCACATAATATGTAAAACTGACAAATAAGAAATACCAGTACTGTCCGAGGATAAATTATCCTTCCGATTTATAAAAAACATCAGGAAAAACAAACAGAAGAATGGAAATTGGAACTGAGACATGGGGGCTATTTTTATCATAAGCTTTTAATATTTAATTTTTGAACCACTTATATCAATTTGAAAAGTGTAAAAATTAATGTAAAATATGTTAAATAACAAGTTTCTCCAGTACTGTGCAGTTTCTAACAATGACTGAAAAATGAATGATTGTGCTAAAGAAAAACGAAGAAATCTTGAATTTATCTTAAGTCCCAGGGTAAGTTTCAACTATTTCTTCGAAGAAGCTTCCCTGACACCTCCGAGCCTCATACTTTCATGGCACTTCGTAGGGTAACACGCAGTCTAAAACGTATAGATTCATAACACATTTACGGAGCGGGTACTCTGTGCCAGCCACAGTACGTAGCTCAATTTACTACAACCATCCCATCCGGTAGGTGCTGTTACCATCTCAGACATTTGATAGATGGTGTGGCCAAGATCATCAACTAGTAAAGGGCGGAGCTGGGACCTGAAACCAGGTCCCTAACACCATTCATTCAATAAATATTTACTGAACACCTACTCAGAGATTACAAGGAATCTGGACGGCCTCTCATCAAATAAAAACGAAGCCCCAATCTCCCACGATGGGAAGTGTCAAGGTCTCTGTTGTGCTGGCTCTCAGAAGGAGCGCAGAGCGGTCCTCTACCCGGTGCCATGAAAGCAAGGATCTGGAGACCTTGGGTTCGGACTGGCGCACGCTAAGGAGCCTTCCACGCGCACGGGATGCGGCGCCCCGGCCCAGGAGATAACAAGCGCCCGGCAGAAAGCAAGCGGGCGCCGTCCTGCACGCTCCCCTCACTCCCAGACCACAGCCTCGCGGGTGGCAGCACCCCCCGCATTCACTAGAGGAGGAAGCAGAAGCTCCCACAGGAAAGGTCACCTGGCCCTACTCCAAGGGGGGCTCGCCGCCGGGCTCACAGCCGGAGAGGCCGCGCCGCTCAAAGGCCAGAGGCGGTGGGGGCTGGGCCTCGTACTTATGAAGGCCGAGGCCTCCGGCCCCGGGGCGGGAAGAAGTCGCTGCGGTAACCTGCGGACTTACACCCTCCTCCTCACGCCAGCGCCAGCTACGTCCGCTTCAGAACTTCCCGCGCCACCGGACGCAGATCTCGCGCCGGCCCCACCCCTGTTTCCAAGGCGACGCGGCGCGCGGGGACGCCCCGCCCCCAACCCTGGAATTTGCGCAGCCGTAGTCAGGCAGGTTCCCACCTCCAACTTCCGTCGTGCGCCCGCAAAGCGAGTTGGCTCTGAAGTGTGTAGATGCAGGCACCGTCGGGGCCGACCCACAGGACGGTCTTTCCCCTCTGGATCGGCTCACTTTTCTCTGAGCTCAGCTTCCTACGACTTCTTTCCCCCACCTCCGGGTCTCTTGTGAGCCTCTCTGGCTCTTGTTCCCCATGGTTTCCTGGGGCGCGCGCATGCGTGCAAGGGGTTAGAACCTCGTTTTCGGCGAGAGCCGGGCTAATCTTACAATTCTTCCTTTAAAATAAGTTGTTAGCACTAATTGTTCGTAATGTAAATATTTCGTTCTTCTTTAATTTGGGTCTACCTTGATAATCTTGGGGATGGGGGAGGTAGGTGGCACATTTTGATAAACATCATTTGAAAGAACGTGTTATTTCTGGTTGAGACACCAAAAGTCTACCGTTATGGGTCAAAGTGCTTGAAAGACTTTACGTTAAAAACATCAGGCAACAACTGTTGTTGAGTGTCTCGGGATTAGAATCTCAGGTAATTCGTACTTTTGCTCTATTTTCTACATATATTAATCTTTGTAATTTAAAAGAAAGTGTTTAAACGGAGACTTTCTAATTTAAACAGAGGGACAAGGGAGCCAACCTTTTAGGGATGATTCTTAACAGAAGGTATGTGGCCAAGTAGAGTTTTAAAATTAATTTGGTTTCAAAGTCCTCCCAACCAACACTGTAACTGTTACTTACTGTAAAGTTGGTTTTTTTTATACGCACGTTTATACAAATCATATGTAAGTTACGCAATAACATCTAAGTTACGGCATTCGGGATAAATCAATCTAGGTGATTTTAGTTGATTTGCTGATACTTCCTCTTACATGCATTCACCACCCTCAGCTTTAACTTATTTAGGAAGAGATGAAAGGCATTTCCACGTGAGTTACAACGAAAATAATTAGTCCTGCCAGGAAAGATAAGAAGATAGGAAAATAGTATATAACAACACTAGCTAGTACAGCGGGCTAGTACAGCAGGCTCTGTATTAAGTACGTCCCTGTATATGAAATCAAAGATGAAGGGGTCTAGTTTCTGCCGATTTGCTGTGTAAGCTTCCAGAAGTCCTTTATTAAATTCTAATGTCTTTTTAGTCTATACCCTGAGGCTATGATTCCACAGCTGGCTTCTTGAAACTGGGAATTACCCTTGGAGCACGAAAAAGTCAATTTGTAGAGGCTCAGGACAGTTGAGGTGTTATCCCAGCCTTGTGAAACGAGGTTGCTGAGAATAATGGCCCGGCATTAAGCACTCTTACAGGTGCTCTTGTAATTTCTAGGTTTCCAGTATTTTAATTTGCTTCTCTACTGGGCTGCTGATTCCCCCAAGTGACTGAACCTTTGAGTCCCCTTATGCCAGTCATTGAACAATTCAAACCTAAATCAATATGTGACAAACACTTAGTACAGAACTAGAATAAATGATTTAGCTCACTCTTTCAAAACGGTTTCCTCATACTGAAATTTGATTATTAGTTGCAAAAGACCGAATTTAGAATTACAAATTACCATCCTTGCCAAGAGTAACATTCAAAAGCTACAATGAAACAAGGATTTGCAAGCATCTAGCTTTTACATGGGCACAGGTGAAAGAAGTTTATAGATGTACTCCCTTAGTAAATTATCACTTTTATTCCTAGATAATAATTGTCTTCTGTTTTTACAAGGACAAGAGACTTTGAGAGGTAAGAATCATGTGAGTTGAGGCGAAGGTCCTACAAGGCCTAAAGAAGAGACTGGTGGAAGAATAGGTCTTAGCTAGGACAGACCCCAAATCAAACCCATTGCCATCGAGTTAATTCCAACTCATAGCGACCCTATAGGACAGAGTAGAACTGCCCCATAGGGTTTCCAAGGCTGTAATTTTTATAGAAGCAGACTACCACATCCTTCTCCCACGGAGCAGCTGGTGGATTCAAACTGACAACCTTTCAGATAGCAGCCAAGCACTTTAACCACTGCGCCACCAGGGCTCCTGTGAAAACATACACCCCCCCACATGCACCCGCCCAGGAAATTATCTCCAGCCAGACCAGAATCATCATAGCTGTGATGCCTTGAGAACTTATTTCATTCACGTTCCATGGTAGTTTTAATACAGGTGCACAAATTCTTTAGTTCCACTCCCCGTAAATATAGGCCAGCCTTAGTGATTCCCATCTAAGAGAATGTGCCATGTGGCAGAACTGGCAGTGACTTTCAAGGCTAGGTTAGAAAAGGCAAAACAGCATCTAGTGAGGGTTATTCACTAAATAGATAAGACGAATATTAGGTGAAGGGAAGGACAGTACACACTACAGGGGAAGTCAGCACACGGGACTAAACCAAAGCTAAGAAGTTTCCTGAATACAATCGAACATTCCGAGGGACAGAGTAGCAGGGGCGGGGGTCTGGGGACCATGCTTTCAGGGGACATCTAGGTCAACTGGCATAATAAAGTTTATTTAAAAAAAAAAAACAAAAAACCAGCATCTGGCTCCTTCTCTTTGGACACACCCTTTAAATCCAGCCACCAGGTTGCGTGGAAACACAGGCCACCATGGAGTAGCCATATGTAATGTTCCAGCCAACACCCCTGCAGTCCCATCTGACAGCCAAAGCATGTAAGCGAGCCTTCACATGATTCTAGCTTCCAGTGTTTGAGCTGCCCCAGCTGAAACCTGCCCAAATTGCATTCATGAGCAAAATAAATGGTGGTTGAAGCCACTAAATTTGGGGGATGGTTTGTTATACAGCAATAGATAACTGAAACAATGTTTGTAATGTTATCTCCAATTTCCTCTATAAGCCTGAAAAGTAGGTACCGTCATCCCTATTTGACAGATGAGAAAACCAAGTTCCAGAGAGGTGAAACAGCTGGCTGAGGTTTCACACTAAGTGGCAGAGCCAGGATATAATAGCTTCAAAGAATGGGCCTTCTCCACTACTCCGTAATGGCCAGGGGATTAGACTAGGCCTATTTCTCCCAGCTTTAGGAAGAACTTGGATTCCAAAGAAGGCTTGGTTTTTAATTAATAAAAATGACCATTGTTTATGCTGTATTCTGTATAAGGCTTAAAAAAAAAAAAAAGCTTTATGGAGGTTGTATAAGGCTTTTAACGCACCTTATCTCAATCTTGACAACTGCCAAGAGAGTGGATTATCATCCTCCCAATTTTACGAGATGAGAAAACTAAGGCTAAGGATAAGTAAGTTACCTAACTTTCCACAAGGAGCCCTGGCTGGTGCAGTGGTTAAAGTGCTCGGCTGCTAACGAGAGCAGCAGTTCGAACCCACCAGCCACTCCGTAGGAGAAAAGATGTGGCAGTCTGTACAGCCTTGGAAACCCTACGAGGCAGTGCTACTCTGTCCTATAGGGTCGCTACGAGTCAGAATCCACCCCACCACAGTGGGTTTTTGGTTGGTTACTTTCCATGGCCTGTAGGCGGTGGCAGAGCTGGGCTGCAAACGCGGTGCCAACTTGGAAACGTTTTCCTCTCTCTTGACTCAGGGTGAAGAAAATTTGTAAGAAACATATTTTATTCAATATTACAGAAGAAAAACCTTTTCAATATTGTTTCCTCTTGCCAAGTCTCACAAATTGTTGTTACAAACTGTCAGAGGAAGAGCTTAGTGATAACTCATACTCCAATGCCGATTTCACAAGTGAAGAAAGTGAAGCTCAAAGAAAATAGGCCCCTTGGTAGAAATGGAAGGCTTTGTTGCCCTTTCACGTGAAAAATTACATTTCCCTCCACGCCTATGCATCATCTCGTATCATATTCCCGTAGGCCAGGCTCAGATGTGACCTCCTCTGTCAAACCTTCCCTGACCACTCCTTCCCAGCAAGGCAGTTGCTTGCACTGCTCAAAATATGGAACTTGTATTTGAATTTCGGTGCCCTGTCTCGACAACAAGTGCTGAACGCTTGACATTCACCATCTCATTTTTACCAAACCACACCTGCACTTCACCTCCACGTGCAGGTTATGGGTGGGAAATACATTTCCAAAGAAATTGTCAGTCGCCCTTATCTCGACAAAAATCAATCGTGGCAAATTTGCTGATTAATGCAGCAACACTTGATCTCCTCAAATCCTCTTTATAAATAAGCCGTTTTAGAAACGAAAAAAGCGAAATTCAAATAAGTCAGAGGTTTGCCCAAATCACACCACTAGTATGGAAGACGCCAAAAATCCCAAGTTCCCCTAACTCAGATTCCCACTGCCGAAGCCCCAAGATTTCTCCGCCAACACGAACTGCGCTGCCGCACCAGGCCGCACTGGGCCCACCTCGCCGCCACCGCTATCCGAGGCGACCAAGCAGGTGGTATCGCAGGCCCAGAGCTCCCCGCCCGCCCGCGCGTGGGAATACGGCTCGTTTGCTGGGGCTGCCCGCGGCGACTGCCTGCGTGCACCGGGGCTGACTGCCGTCGCCTCCGCTTCGCCACCGCCCCCTCCCTGCTGGCTGGCCAACTCAGGACCCGGCTCCGAGGAGCGCACCGTGATCCGCTCTTTTCCATCCGGCATTGCGCCGGCCACCTCACATCCGGGCGCGACGGCAGCGCCGGGCCCGGGTGCGTGGAGGGAGTTACTAAGCGGGAGGGGGACGAAGAGGAGGAGCGGAGGGCCGGGCCGTGGTTACGGCGGCTGAAGAGAGACAGCCTGATCGGGTAGGGGGGTGGGGGAGAACGAAGGCCGCGGGAGCAGCGCTCAGACCGGCGCGGGCGGCAGGGCAGGAAGCGGCGTTCGGGCCAAAGGGCCGCCGAGCTACGGAGGAGCCGAGTA